AAACTTTTCAAACGACAGTGGTAAAACATTTTGCGAAAATAAAAAGTTATTAAATGGGTTTATTCAAGAGTCAATCAATAAATAAAAATAGAAAAATTAGCGAAAGGTTATGGTTTTAAATGCCTAGAAAAATTGTATTTACAAGTTTAAATTTAGGGTGCTATTGATATATGTAACCCAAAAGTTTTGCATTTTATTCCATCCCTAAAAATTTGAATTAAAAGTTTGCTTTATTGGTAAAAAAAATTGCTGAGTGTTATTTACCTATGATCAAATTTAAATTGAGTATCAGCAGTTTTCGTAATATTTTACCACTGTGAAAATGGGGAATGAATGGAATCCCAATCGCATGCTCAATATTTTAGCATTGCCAAGGCACGACTCTGTGTATGTTTTTTTTGCACATATGTATGTTTCCACTTCCTTCGACGATTTCCGGTTTGCTCTCTCCTAGTAAAGTTCCCCATTTTCCCCAAACACACAAACATACATACACACAGACTTTTTTTTTGCTTCCACTTTTTGTGCTAGCATTATTTTTATTTCTTTTTCTATGAAAGCAATTTATCGATGTTAGAGAGGAAAGAGTGCATTGAAAAAATAGAAATATTTATGGGAATGATCGCAGAATGAATGCCACGTAATTCGATGCTGTTGGCAACATTTGTCATTGTTGATTTTGGCCAGAAACGACTTTATAGCGCGACATATATAGTACGTAGCTCGTCCGTCGAGGCCAATAACTTCTTCAGCATAACGCACAAAAAGTGAGCGCGAAATTGCGCGTAAGTAATGCCCATTGTAAGCGCCTTCAAAGGACAGGGGCGGGGGAAGTAGGGGCGAAAATGGGGGCTTAAAATATATAAGGACAGAGCAATTCGAAGCCAAACAAAGGAATGGAAACAAAAGCATCGCAAAATGAACTGAACAGGAACATTATAGAAATTCTTGCCCCTATTTTCCTAAGATCACTCAGGAAAATTTTGGTTATTAGATTTTTGAATATACCAAAAAAAAAGTTTTAACTGAAACATAAACGTTTCTTGTGAAATTTGTATTATTATTTAATCGAAAAGAAACTAAACATGTAAGAAAGAAAAAGAAAATCGGTTCAGCAAATTTAATATGTAAATGTTATAAAGAAATGTGAAATATAACAAGAGGGGAAATTTTCAAAACACATGGCAAAAAACCAATTTATAAATATAACCAATATTCATATTAATAAAATTAAGTTTAAGCTCATTGTTGTTAAATACCAAAAACTAGAACAGTCAGTTATCTTTTCATATTTTTGTGAGTGCATCCTTTTATTTTCCCTCCATTTTCCTTTGAGTTTCCTCCTGTTCCTCACCGCACACATGGCACTTAAGATGTGCATTTCTATACAGAGGTGTACTTATTTGTGTGCGTGAGTTTGTTGGAAAACTTTTGTGCATTCAACTGCAAGGCCGGTGCATTTTCCACCCACCACATTCAGCATCCCCCCAACACTTTTTTAATAAAAAGCCAAACAACGAGCAAACTACGTTCGATGCATGGCGAATTATCCAAAAAGTTTGATGACGCGGAAATGCCTTTCGACAATAAACCAACAAACAAACGAAAATAAAAATAAAGTAAAGGAAATACACCAGTCAACTCCAATGCAACTACTGCGTTTATTTGTTTATTCGTGCATATGTGAGGCGAACTGAGGCGGAATGCTTATGGAATCGAGAATTGAGTAGGGGAAAAACGAAATCGTCATTTGAAATTCGAATGGGGGAGCTGAGGACCATAAAAGTAGCATACCCCACTCAAAAACACCATGGGGAATAATTAAGAAAAAGTTTAAAGGGGTCAAGTCAAGATGAAAATAAGAAGACTTTATAAACATGATATCATAAAATAAAAGGAAACAAACGATAAATACGATTTTAGCAAACATTATTCTAGAGTATTGTAGAACTACAAAAAATTAAAAAGCATTAACAGTTGCTTTAAAAAACTGTTGCTTAAGAGAAATACATTTCAAATGGAAAACAATTTAATAGATCAAAATTTGTGTATTAAAGTTGTATATAAAGAAATCCAGGAGAAAACCTAAGCAAATGTCTTTCAATCAAATTGACTAAATACTAAAACGAAACTTATCTCGTATCTAATCTTTAATTAACAAGCTTTTCACTGTATTTCCGAGCTAGACTGCAAACAAACTCGTTATGGGAAATCCATACAAGCCGAATTCTATTTAATCCATCGAACCAAGCCAACAACTCCATTAAATATAATTTATCGGCCACTTAAATTTCATGTTCAAACTCAAATTAGCATGCATGTTGATTATACTTGCCCGCATGTGCATGAAAATTCATCGAGGGCGCAAAGGGAAAAACTAAAAGCAAGTTGAGTGAGTAAATTGTAAATAGCACTTTACACTGCACAACACGATGGCGGTTTTATCCGCTGCTATTTTGTTCTCAGTTTTTATTATGTTCAAAATTGGTTGGTTAATTTTTATGCTCGTTATGGAACTGGTTTTTGCATGCATTTCACCTTTTTAATTGCTAATTGCATGTGTGCGTATAACAAAAACGAGTGTATGGAAGTGTGTGGTTGTGTATTCACTTGAACTGCAGCAAATGTAGAACAACTTCAATAATATGCATTTTCGGAAGCTTAATAAATGCTTTTTCAATATTGGAATATGAGGAAAAACTACTTTAAAAAAGGAGAAAAAGCAATAAGGCATTCATTAAAAATTTAAATAAAATTATATTGTTTGAGCTTCAATTGGTTAAAGCTGTACTGCCTTTGGCATGATAAAATTGTTGTATTTACCCCATTTATCTAGCATATGGCATGACAAAATCATATTTGCTATTAATAAATAAAACCACTATCCGGCTTATTTTAAATTTATTTGTATTTTTACATTTAACAGGATCAGGAGGGTCGCAAGGTCATTCCCGAGGAGACGGAGTTGCACGCCTCGAAGACCACCGTGAATTTGGGGGACGAGAAGGTGGAATCGCCACTACAGCAACAACAACAAGCAAATGGAAATGGGAAAAGTCTACCGCAGCAGCAGCAGGATGATGAAAAATCCGACGCCACTTGATGGACTGCCAACCCAATTCTCTGACCTGCCACACGTGGCGTATGAGTGATATTAATAAGCCAAAAGCGAAGGGAAGAATGAGGAAGAGAAAAATAAAATTCATAAACGAAAACTATTGTTTAGTTGTACATGTGTGTTATGTTATATAAATGTATATGTCTATGTATAAATTATGCAAAACCTGAAAAACTGAATAAACAAAAATTGTTGCAAACTCAAATAAATAACCACACTCTGGTAATTGTTTTCCCATTCACAATTGAAATCAAGCCTTTTCACGTTTGGCTGGAATTTTCCACTTTATTTTGCTGATTGGCTTAAAAATTAAATTGTAATTGCCCAAAACGCCAAGTGTTTTGCCATAGGTTAAGTTGCTATTATTATTATTATTATTTCATTTTCATTACAGTACTTTCATTTGCTTTGCTCTCTTTTTGTGTCTGTGTTTTTCTTTTCCTTAGGCTAAGGCTTCTCGTTAATTTAATATTATTTGTTTTCCACTTGTCCTTTTTTTGCGGTTTGGTTTGCCTCACTTTGTCATTATTAATTACTTAATATAGCGTTTTAATTACAATCTCATTTTTCTTTGCATACCAAATTGCACGAAAGTCTATTGATGCAAAAAATGGATGCATCAAGTCTCAATTTAATTCACTTATTTGCCTTACGGTATTTTTTCTGTGTGGTTTTTTCATTCGATTTATATCGCAGCAGAGCCCAACTTTGTGCCGACCTCTTGTGCAATTTGATCAGTATTAATGTTTACATATCAACAGCAATATGCTAAATGTGGCCAGCACCCGGACACACGCACCACACATTCATTTATGGAAACGATTTAAAAATAAATATTATTTATGCACAAAAAACATATTAACTTTTGTGGCTACAATTTTAATTTATGCTAATTATTTTTCAATAACAACTTTCGACTGCGGTCGAACATTTGGGGGGCCAGGGGCAGCAATAATCTCTGATATCTGCCCTGACCATATTCAATTTAAATCACCCAACCGTTTCCAGCTCAATTTATTGGTATGGCAAAATTAATTAAAACTAAACTAAACAGAATTTCGTGAAATTAGTTGATATAATTTCAATATTTGCGACACGTTGAAGAGAAAATTGATTTCATGGTGACCGAAAACGCAAAACAATAGAATAGAATTCTGTTTTGCGCTTTATTATTATTTAGCTAATTGCAAACATTTGCAAATGAAAATGGTGTACAAAAATCACGCTTTATTAAATGGCATCAAATTTTAATTTCTTTTTCTCATTAGAGTGACATATTTTCGGACTGGCAATCATAATTAGTCCGACTCTCTTTGATGTTTGGTCAAAAGTTTTCCTATATTTCCCCAAGGATAACTTAAACTAATTAAAATTAAAGAGAACCTCTTTTTCCTTTTGGCCAGCCAAATCATTTAATCTCATTGAAATGTCCATATGCAAATGCGCACCTATAAAGTTAACTTTGAGAGCGGACATTTGCATAACAAGTTTATGAAGGTTTTATGGCCACAATTAGCATAGAAAATCTACCATATCTGAAGCACACTCCTTCAGGCCAAAAACATAAAACGATTCCACATGAGAAAACTTACATACATTTTCAAATGTGCAAAACTCATACAATAAACATAATCTGAAGTAAGTTTAATGCAAGCATATAAAACATTTACATAATTCTAGATGATCTCCCTTCATTCGGTGTGTTTCGTAATCAAACATTATCCTTTCTGTGTGTGGTTGTGCTTGTGTTTGTGTGTGCTTAGCCTAAATAAACCTTGATAAACAAGTATGCTAAGCCTATTTATGCCAGAGATACATGTATTAATCATACATACATATATGGGTTCTTGGCATTAGCCGGAATCATAATCAATAAAGTTAATTCACACATGTCTTTTAGTTTATTATTATCGGTTACTGTTCAATATTTGAAATATTCAACGAGTAGCATCAAAGATAATTACAAAATCACACCCAAAACCCAACCCAATATATTTTCTCCACTCACTCCAGTTTGTGTGGGGTGAATTTGACTGACCATCCGCCGCTGCTGCCGTTATTATCCAAGTCTCACTGTATCAACGGTGAGTGCTGTGAGTTCTCGCTAAAGTCCACCGTGTAGTACATGTCGTTCTCGAGATTCATGGCCAGGTGCCGTTGAAATGGTCGCTCCTGCAGCTGGCCACCCAGCGTGGTCTGCGTTTGCGGCTGTCCTGGCAGATGCCTTGTGACCTGCTGACCCCCGCCTCCAGCTGTCACGCCCCTCGGCCCTGCCGCGGGCGCCACATTATTGGCACCACTGCCCGCGGCCGTCGCATTCGCGGCACCCTTTCCACTCAGCCAGTGTTTGTTCAGCTTGCCCTGCATTTTTGGCCGGCGACTGAAGCCCAGAATGGGTATAAGCGAGGTGGAACGTGTCGAGAATTTCCGATACGTCTGATTGACCTTGCAGTGACAAATGGTGACCTGCAACGGAGAGAAATGTGCACGAGGGGTTAGGTAAATGGTTATGGATTGGATTGGTGAGTAATGGTCTTCGTGGTTGCCAAAAAGCAAGTTATTTGCTTGAAACTGTAAGCTAAAGTCCAGCCAACTATAACTTAAAAGTGCATTCAAGCTAACTCTCTTACATATATCAAAATTATTTTATTTATCAGTTTATCAAAAGCCAAAACAATATTATTTTAAATTTTTGACAAGGCGAAATGTCTCAAATTTCCATAAAAATTACTCATACGTCACGCATGCCGGCTAAATAGTATACAGAACAATTTTTCTCCTACTTTTAACATTGTCAACTTATTGACACGTTCAAATGACAGAAAATATAAAAACAACATTATCAACAAATTTTTATTGGTAAAAAAAAAAGTAATAAACTTTGAATACCCTCATTTAGTTTTTTTCCTAAAATATATTCTTGTGTGCCTTAACTGCACTTACGTTTGGTAAGAGTAGAACCTAACGCTTTTCTAAAAACTATATAATAAATCAAATATGTAGTCAGAATAAAAATCTAAACTTTGCTCACTAAATAACCGAATTGAAACTTTCGACATTAACCTGTCCAATGCAGGACCTTTATAGGCTTGCATTAATTTAGCAGGGGAGCGCAAACTGAATCGCTTTCCGGGTCCAATAAATTGGCATGGACTCGGCTCTCCACTTGAAGGAGCACACATTGTGAACGAACGGACACCAATTGTATAAATTTGCATCCACTTTAAGCCCCGGGTCCAGGCGATTGGGTAACTTTCGGTTAAAGCCGTCGACTGCAGCTCGAACCATTTTGCTGAACATCGAAATGAATATGCAATGCCATTTCTCGCGCACTTTGCATAACCGCAGAGTACAATTTCCCCCATGGTTTGGGATTTTTGGGGGGCAGGATCCAGGAACTTACCACAACGGCAACGATGAAAATGGCGGCTGCCAGGACTCCAGCCGCAAAATATGCATTATGCAATTCAATGGGACTCTTAAGCACAACCGATGAACCGAAAGTTTTGTCATTAAAATTTCTAGCGTTGGCATCGTCCACAATAAATTCGCTGGAACTAACGACCGTCTCCACCACAAACTCATCTGCGGAAAAAGGCCGGAAAAGAAGAAACAGGCGCAAAAAAGTTAGATAGTCGCCGAGGGAAACATATTTTTTGCTGGCCACGCCGATGGCCCTAATCAAGTTAATGACTTTGGGGTATTTTAGGGGACCAAAAGCGCAACTCACCTTCGCACATGGTTCCCGTGTAGCCGGGGCGACAGGCGCAGTAGAAGCTATCGCCGCTGGACCAACAAGTGCCGCCGTGGGTGCAGGGATTCACGTTGCATTGCTGGAAGTACTGAAAGTCATCAACGCATTGGTGGTGGATTGAGTAGAAAATACCCCATAAAACGTACACCCAAAAAAAAAAAAAATAATTGAAAAGCCATTTAGACTCTAACCAAATTTCCCAATTTGCAATACATTACTTTGTTTATATTTTAGAAATATTAATTTTTTTTAACCAAGTTCATAATATTTATTTAACTGAGCAAGTACCTTAAATGTTTATATGTTAAATGTTAATTCAAACTATTCACCACAAAGTTTTTTGCATATAAAAATTAATTTTCGTGCAAATTATTTTTCTTAATTGTTTCTACCTTTTGGTCTAGATTTTTATAAAGTTATGACGGTATAAAGTTATGTTATTTAAAACAAAGCCGCTTAAATGGTTTTCAAGTTCCAAAGGCCAGAAAACAATCTTTATAGCTATAAATATACATTTGTAATCGTAAAAGGAAAAATATTTTTGTTTTATATCTATGTCGCTGCTGGAAACTGCGGAAACTGCTATCATTTAACCACACCCAACTAGCAATTAGAATGGAGGAGCTGCCTCTAATTTTCCCCTACTTTTCGGGTCGGTTGTGTGTGCCTGGCATGTAGAATGTAATTAATTTTGCTGCCTTCGCCAACAGGAGCCACGAGCCACTGGCTGCCGCAATTTCCAGCCGCGGTCTGCACCAGCCACGCCCCCTTCAATGCCCCACCGCCCTCTTGTATATAATGACAGTGTTCTGGGGATCCTTGGGTCCTTGGAAGCAGTCGCGGTTAGTCAGCGTGTCCATCATTTTCACAAAGCTTTAATTATGGCGCCTTGACGCTTAATTTATGTACATTTTGTTAAGTTTTATTCCAGCGCCACGCAAATTATCAAGTTCATTGAGCGTTTATTAAAATTCTTTTTTGTCGCGGCGGGGCTAACTCAATTTATGAACTAAGTTTTGCCTGAATGGAAATTGATTTGCAATGCTAAACAAGCAGAAAACTTCTACACGGAATATCAATTTCAAACACACAGCACAGCACACAGACAATTCATTTGAGGTCGACAAGGCGAAGTCATAAATCAGTTTTAAAATGCACACAGCAATTGTGTATGCAGTTGGCCAGGAAAATTGGCTACAATTATGCCGCTGCGAACAATCTGTGGCTAAATGCTGCAACATTTTTGCCTGCCAAAAGGAACTCCCGAAAACAGAAACAAAGTCCGAAACATGACTGCATAAATCATGACTTACCGTTCGTGGCATTTGATTACAATCCGGTCCGTTGCGACCTCCTGGGCATTCGCAGCTGAAATCATTTCCATGATCAATACAGCGATGTCCTTCGGGGCAAGGCTTGTTGGCGCAGAAATCAACCTAGAAGAGCACACACAACAGATGAGGAAAAAAAAAGACGGGCACGGGCACAAATCAAAGCATATTGTGGCGGTAGAGTCGGAATAGAGAGCTCTGAAACTTCATTACGTATTCAAAAATGTATTTGCCCCAGCATTCGTATCCGAAGGACATGCTCCCTCCCATACGAAACCCCAATTCATATATATATATAGAGAAAGGAAAGAGGAGCAAATTAAATCAATATCCATTCATGTTCCACAGACAACTGCAGAATGGCTGGAGAAGTCCTTCGACTTTCTCATCGGGGAATTGTCGCGGGATTTGTTTTCAATACAAAATATTGATTATCCTGGGGAGCGAGGAATCAACTAATGGGCACTCTTGGGATTCGTTTTTCATTGCACAATTTCAAGTCATGATTTTTCACACTTCATGGGTTGCTTCGTAAATATCTTAAGTGTCCAAACATCAATTGTTGAAAAGCATACTTCTTATAAATCGGCTTAACAATATGCGAGCACTGTGATTATTTTATTTAAATTTTTAATTTTAAATAAGACATTTGTGTTATTTTCAAGTACTTTTTGTTATTAATTTTTATTAGAGATTTTTTAATTTAAATTTTTAAATTGCTGTTTTTAAAATTGTATTATATTTTTTTGTAAATTTAGAAGAACAAATAATTGCCACACTGATAAGAATAGTCTTTTCTTTCGCTGGACGGAATATAAACTGTGCAGATGGCAACGGCAATAACCTCTAATTATAAATTTTGGGTCCATTGTGTTTTACAATTTATGTGTGCCTAATATCCTAAACATAAATAAGAGACAAAAAAGCGACATTTAAACATTAAAGAAGGATGTAGAAGAAACGTTTACCCTAAGTAAATTTATTAGTTTTGAAATAATTCGTTATAAAACATTTGAATGGAGGCAGGACTTTCTGCATTTTGATATGAATTTTGTTCAGTTTTTGTTAAGGTATTTTCAGATTCGTCCTCGTTCTCGTTCTCGCCCAAAGTGCTACACCATTTTACATTTATTTGGCATTGTTCACTCACCTTAATTTGGCAACGGTTGCCGCTGTAGCCCTTCGTGCAGCGACACTCGTAGCTGCCAATGTGATCGATGCACTCGCCGCCATTCTGACACGGATTCGATTCGCATTCATTATACTCGAAGTTGCACAGTTCGCCGGCGAATCCTGTGAGACAGGATCCAAAGAATAAAAGGGGAGAAAAAACAGGAGACAGAAAACGGGGGAGCAGTTCAATAGGTTGTGGGTAATGTAAATGTGCAAAGTAAATGAAATGGAAATTTCAATGGGAAATGGGAAGTGCTTTGGCTGGGCGACGACAGACTGCGACGGAGCCGCACTGTCTCGACTTCCCGGAATTGCCTTCGTCTCTGTCTCAGTGATTTCTTATTCCTTATTTTTTATACCTTTACTTTCATTGTGATTGACTGCGATTTATGCAAATTGTGTTTGTGCCAATGAAATAATTTATGAGCTGGCTGTGATGTAGATTTTTGATTTGCGCAAATTTCAATTCAATTGTAAAAACGAAATTTGATTGCCTTTAAAGTACGTGCAGTTTTTGGCGGAAGTCAGCTTTTACTACAGTTTATTTGCAAAGATTAAATATATTGAAGTCCGTTAAATTTCTTAAGAAAACAAATTAAATTTAATTTTTGAAAGAAGAAACATTTTTTATGTTAGATAATTTTTGTGTTTAATAATAACTACCCAACTCTTTGTGCTCTAGATAAAGGTAATTATTTAGGTAATTTTTTGAACTGGAAAAGGTGGGATAATAATCTCTCTGTTGAAATTTAATTTCAGCTTTAACTTTAAATTTTAAGCCCCTAGAAATAGCAATAGCAATGGAAGTACAAATTCAATTACAAATATCCAATATATAAAAGATCACGGCTAAAGCCAACAATCGTTGTGTGAAATTTCCACAATGATAACTCACAAAATATTGGCATTATGGGAGCGATTTCGCCGAGCGAATCAACAAAAGAATGAAGGCAATTTGCGTTTATTTGGCTGGAATTGTTGGCCGCATTTACTCACCTGGCTGGCAAAAGCACCGGAACCCGTCCTCCTGGTCCACGCAAATACCGTGAACACACGGCGAGGACTCGCATTCATTCAGGCTGTGCTGGCACAGAGGTCCTGTGAACCCCGGCGAACAATCGCAGCTGCAGGGCGCCGAAAAGGGGTGAGGGGGTTAATACGGTTGGGAATAACGTTGGACAACAAAGAAAAAATGAAATGCAGGAATTTTTGAACATGCGACAAAAGTCAACATTTATGAGCAAACACAGACGGCAACGGCTAGACAAAACCGCAAAACAATGGCCAGGATAATTGAATGAAAGCTGCTGCTGGTGGCCCTCCTTCAACTGAATGTGTACTCTGCACTCAAACTGAATATGATTGCTGGATTTTCCAGGAACTGTGTTATCTTTAGTTAAAAAAAAACCTTTGTTTGTAATTTTAGGTGATGAAGAGCAATATTTCTTTTGAATTCTATACGTTGCTTTGATCATTTTTCTCGCATTTTATATACATATATATCTTTTCAATTTAATACTTTGTTTTAAACATAACTTTAGCGTTTTTAATATGGTAAATTCTCAATTTTTTTATGATTGGCATTTCAATTAGAAATCCTTTTTAACTTATGTGATTTTTATTTTAATTTGAAATTTTTAACTAAATATAGGGGGCATATTATATATTATATTTCTATCTGAAATTTTAATTATTAATTAAATAACTGTTGTGTACCTATAATAAATTATATTTTTGTAATGGAATTTCAGGTTTTCAAGGTTGTTTAGCATATGTTCTTGAATGCCTATTTTTTCTGAGTGTATCTAAGCCAGCTCATGCTCCTCTGTCTGCTATTTCTGTTCTTCCTTTCATCTTTTGTTTGCCTTGGACTCACCGAAAGTGCGTGGAGTTGCCCACACAGCTGCCGCCATTCATGCACTCGGCGGGATTGCAGGGATCCGACTCGTATTGACAGTTCTTGCCCGCATATCCTGCGAAGACGGAGTGGTTGGGGAATGGATATTAATAGCGTTACCACTAATGAGGGCACTAGGTGCTAATGACCCTACCGTACGGACAGAGGCACTGGTACGAGTTGCCCTCGTGACCCTGCGACAAGTCCACGCAGATGCCATTGTTGGTGCAGGGACTCGGATTGCAGGCGTCGATCTCCTCGCAATGGGGTCCGGCGAAGCCACTGCAGCACTGGCACTCGTACTCCTCCATCCCGGCATTCGAGTAGCACACTCCCTTGCCGGAACAATCGGCGTTGTCGCCGCAATTGTCGGTTTTCGTGGTCACCTTCAGGCGCACACACTGCGCTCCCCACAGCTCGGACACCACTGTAGGAGCAGACAACGAAAAACGAAAAAAGAACACCGGAAAGGTTTCGTATTAATTAAGGCAACACCGAAGGCTGCGGGGCCACATTGCGAAAAAAGTAAACATTTTTAATAGGCCAAACGGGAACCACAAACAGGGGAAAAATTGCTCCCCAAAGGCGGCATCCTCTGACAGGAGTTGGAATTGATACCGCATAGATGAAGATGGAATACCCTAGCTGGGGGACGAGATAGCTGATAGCTCTTCGGGGAGCATTTTAGTTAAGTATTCAACAAGATGATATTTTCTGTGGCTAGGCACAGTGGAAAGGATAAGAATGCCTCCAATGCCAACTTTGATTTAACTGTTTTAAATTACTAAATAGGGATTTCTTAAAAATTAATTATTAATACATTTACTAACAGAATGAGCTGAGTTTATTTTCTCTTTATGTTAAAACAACATATTAGTTGTTAAATCTATTTGTAACATTTGTGTAACATTTCTCTAGAGGAAGAACCAAAATTGAATTTTAAAACCGGGAATACTAAATGCTTAAGCAAGAATATAAGTGCTTTTGTGCTTAAGTACTTAAACTCAATACTTACAAAACTTATTTTTAAGGCATAAAGTAAAATAGCTAAATATATTTTATTTTTCATATCTTTGTAGCTCAAACATTAGAATGAACGCTAAGCAGAATGATCTAATTAAGACCCCTCTTCATTGACTAACTAACCGAATTTCGCGTGTCCCCAAACCAAGCCCACCGCAAAGTTAGTGAGAGTACATCCCGCCGGCGGTAAGTTCGTCTACCGTCTACCGACTACTCACCAATTAGCAGGTTAACTCCCTCGGTGAGGTCCTTATCGTACAGTGTTACCAGCTTCCTGCCGTCGACCACCAGCGGCGTGATATCCAGCAGGACGCCCTCGGTAACGTCGCAGTGTTCGTGGCCGGAACGAGTTACCTGGTACACCTGTGTGGCATGTACCGCGCTGCTCGTTGACGTTTATTGGCCCAGAATCCAGGTGAGAATGAAGCGGCAAAAAAATAGATATACACAAATATATATATATGTATATAAATTTATAGTGAGTGAGGCAGGCAAGTTAAATGGCTTCTGTTTGCTTGCTTAAGTTATAAATATGACCAAAGACGTCAGCAGAGCGAACTTAGTCCTTGTTCTGCTTGTATATGTGCTTAATTAATTGAAATTTATTTATAAGCAGTGGCTCTCTCTCGCTTGCCTTGTTCTAGCGGAAATTAAATAGCACAAAAACGGAAATTAAATTAGTCGAGGCTGGTTGGCTGCCTCGGAAAAAGGGTTTATTCTTGGGTCAAGGGATTTCCCTATAACTTCTATGTTGCAAGGCGGTTCTTGCGGTTACTTTTTGCGTGGGGTTTTTTGGTATATGAGTAGATTTTAATGGACTGAAAATTGGCAAGCCAGAGGCTTAAACTTCATTTTTGGGTAATTATTTGCTAGAACAAACTTTATTCTATCTAAAATATGATTTAAATTGTACGTTAAACTTTTAAGTTATAGAACGTTTTTCAAAATTTAAAAAAGGGAGAACACTTTCATCTAGGGCCATCGTGTTTAACTTTGTACTTCCCCTGTAAAGGCAAAAACATAGACACAAACATAGGGAGACACCTCATATAGTATCCAAGTTTGCAATTTTTCTTCAGCACGTACTCGAGTTGGCGGGATGAAAAAAAAATGGAAAACTTGTTAGAAAACTGCGAGCCCGGAAAGTTTTCACTACCTCGAGTTTTCCCAATCTATTTGCTACCCACTCGCTTTTCCCTGGCTTCGCCGTAGTATTATTATTTGTTGCTATTGCATTTGTTAACTTGGCTGGCACACACACATACCTCCTCACACACACACACCCCCATATTAAATCGATAATAAAAACTTTTTTGACATCTCATTTTCATAGTTGGCGGGAACTTTTCTCTGCGAACCCTGCGCTCAATTGTACGCCATACTTCGCATCACTTTCACTCCTCAACTAACTCGATTGTTTGCGGTCTTATTTTGCCTTTGCCCCAAAGGAAAGTTACAAAATCGCAACTTATGCCAGGCATTTCGAGTTGCCACAGCCGCGGGCTGAACTGAATAAAAAGAGGAAAAATATATGGGGAAAAGCGTAAAATTTCCAACGCTGCGGCAGTCGCGTTTGATGTCTGCCCCAAAAAGTTCGACAAATGAATTTTAATTTTTCTTGCCCTTTCCTTTTCGGGGGTGAAAAACTTTCGTGATGGGTGGCGGCGGCATCTATCAAGCGATAAGATAAGAACCAGCCGCCGAGAGCTAAATTAAAAAGAGCAAAAAATGTGTGTGCAGCAGCCGGGGTAAAAATGATAGCAAAAACCGAGAGAAACGTGATAATTGCCATGGCAAAAAGGGTCAGCCAGCTGTGGTGTGTGTACGTCCAGCCCAATGACAAATGGTCAACAACTAGGACTACACATAGGCAAAATGTTAACATTAAATTTGGCATTAATTCTATGGGTATCTTATTACTGTGATTTTATTGGTTGGTTTATTTTAAAATAAGTTTAACACATCATGTTGATTAAAAAAGCCTCTTAAATTATTGAAATTTAACTTGAAACTAATTAAGTGTGTTATCATATCGAAGTAGAGGGACTTATTGCTTTAGGTTTAGTTTAAAATAGACCAACATTCCTTGTTTATTTAATAAACTTTTTCTTTGTATTTATTTTTGTAAGAAAGCAAATACTAAGTTGATTGTGTCATTTATTTATATCGGCTTAAAATTCTATTATTATTTGTTTGCCCTGAAATTAAATTGCCTGCTTGAGGAGCATTAATAACCATTTAATATACTTTGTATGATTCAAATTACATTTAAGTTAATATGTTATTAATCATATTAATATATATAAAGGGAATGCATTAAAACATTTCAAGCTTTTTGCCTACTTAAGTGGCATTAACAACAGTTTGTATATCCCGGGTATGATTAAAATTTCAATTAGGGTAAAAGCATGAAAAATATTTAAATAAACATATTAATGTATTAAAAAGGGATATTTTTCCCTGTGCTCGGACAACTGGGTGCCATCGCATTTATATGCGCAGTTTGTAAAGGGGATTTTTGTACGGCATTATAAAATAAACAAAAAACCGAAATAAAAATTTGCGAACAGAAGTAAAGAGAAAGGTCAAAAAAGAGAGTTAGACAGCTACTGCGAAGTAAGGGAAAACAATTTAATAAACTGTAAAAGGGGCATGATAATGGCAAAACGTGTCTGGGACCAGTAACTATTCCCCTTGTCATCTTTTTCCCTAGCAGACGTGCTGAAGAAAAATCAATAAAGGTCCTTAATGTACGTTATTATATAATAAGCCTCCGAACAAACACGTTTCAGTGCGCATTAAGGCGCTTAACTGAAAATAAAAACAAAAAATAGCTTAGCTCACACCCACACCCGCACACACACGACCTGCCAACTAGGTGTAAAAATAAAGGAGTGATTTTATTTATTTTTTTTTTTGTTCGGTGTGAGTTTAGGGGAATCCCCCATTTTTCTACGGAGCTCAGGTGTCTGGTGAAAGGGTCGCTACATGATGAGCTCAATGATGAGGCAGCAGTTGCTGTTGCTGCCGTGATGTGGATGTTGCTGCCGTGCTGTTGCTGTTGCTATTGCTGCTGTTGATGATGTTGCTGATGGCACATAATGACAGTTTTTTTGCCGGGACCCCAAGTCACTAGCTTTGATCAACTACATACATCACTGCCAGCCGTCAGGTTAACTTCGCTTTGCAAGCAACGTTTGCAACAAGTAATGGCAGCAAAAAATGGGGATTATGTAATTGAATCCCTTACCTAAGGTAAATTGATACTTTTGGTGTTTGTACAAAAAAATAAAAGAAAACTTGAGTTGCCATGGTTGTTAAAAAAATATATGCCATTATGTGTAAGTCTTTTTAAAGATTAGAAAAAGTTGACATTTTTTACGCCATCAAATCTTCTATATTTATAGCATACCCATTCAGTTTTCCCTTATTTCTTGTTGACCTGCATTGTATTTGTATTATCTCAAAAAAAAATAAATCCATGATCAATCATGAAAGTGGAAATAACTATTTTTTCCCCTTCAAAAACCTGTCACTGTCAAATGGCTTAAACAAAAAGTTTTGTGTGCACAGCTGTGAAAAACGTTGACACAATTACATTTTAAATTGTACTCATTTGTTAATTAATTAAAAATGAAGCACTCACAATAGAATTGTTCTATTATTACTGAGCCATCTATACATTTCCATAGTCTTTGTTTTGGCCAGGTTTTTGGTTTTGAGTTTCCATTAAATTGTTGAAGGGTTGTTCGTTCATTTAAAATAAGTTTCATGTTTACCATTTAATGGAAATTTCTTTTAATTTAAATTTCCTTGGCATTTACCTGCTTGTGTTGTTGGGCTCATGCGATGGATTTAACATGGCATCATTGATTTCCACAATTAAAATGTCGCCGGACTGGATTTCCGCCTCACCGCGCCAGGTTAAAACATTCGGTATGCAATGCTCATCCGGCCGACAATGCTCCGTGGTCTGAGGAAAAACAGATTGAGGTTGAAAATTGTTTATTAAACTCATCTCTATTCGCAGAAGTGGGACCCAAAAGGTTTTTTCCGTCTGGTGCGGTCTGACAGCCGGGCAAGACTGAATTATTTAGCAAGTTTTCTAATTTTACTTTTATAACATTGTCTACGGTCTAGCGAAGTCTGGTCCCTTTTAAGTCAGTTTAGTTTTGTGGTAAAAAGAAATTTACATAAGTAGTAACCCGAAGTTAATAAACTTCCAGTCAAAAGGTTCATTTTGGGTGGGTATTAGCAAAGTTTCTAACATATGCCCATATCCACTTGATGTTGCCAAATTTTTATTAATTTGGGTTAAGCCACATACATAAGCCGCCAGTTAGGCTCATCACAATCGGTATACAAATAAAAAGAAATAATCCACAAGCAAAAAAACTGGACTTTGCGGTCATCCCTGCCCTTTTTTATGTGCTATGTGTTTCAATGTCCAGCAATTTTAGCATATTTTTGCGCAATTTGAAGCGGTTTAGTTTGCCTGTCGCTTTTTTATGCCGCTTTGTACTGTTCGGGAGGGGATTTGTCAGAGCTCCAAATTTATGGCATTTTAATGGCCGGTCTCTACGCACATAAAAATCTACATTGTATGTTGGTCAGCTCGAAAAAAGCTGCATATTTACATCTAAAAAGGGCATGTTTTCCCATTGGGGAATGGCCAAGTTTTGGGTCACATAGAATTTCATGCGTGTTTTGTGGTCAGCTCCTTTTTTTATGAACACCGCAATTGGTAATAGCATAAATTTCCATTTTTATTTGTCGTATATATTTAAAAGTTTCTGTTTGTTGTCTGAGTTTACTTGGAAAACATACAATTTGTTGAAATTAAAACCACAAACAACAAAATTCACGCTTGGAATAATTTAAATGGCTTGTATTTGAGCTTTTGAAACTTGGTGAAAATTGTTTTAAGTTCTAAAGCCAGCTACTTAAATTGTTTTTATTTTCTAGAGTGCCTTCAAAACAATGCACTCAATCATTAACATAAGCTTCTAACGAAAAAACTAAAAAAAAAAACTTTCAACTAGACTTAAATGAATTAAAAAGTAGCTAAATAAAAAGCGAGAGAGAGAGAGAAGAAATGGACGAACAATTCCATCAAAACGAGACCCAAAACAACAAACGACAGAATAAACAAATTCAGTTGAAAAATGTTTTCACTGACCTCCCCAGCACAAAAAAAAATGTGAAGAAATGCCTTTACCTTTTATGCAAAAATTGTTTTCTTTAATTGTTTTCTTTTTTTGTGTACCTGGTCGTTGGGAAAAGTGCCTCGAATTTTCCAAGGATGCCAGCATTAATTTTATGCAAGGTAAACATTATGCCAATGCTTAATGTATATGTATTTTGCTTTCAGGTGGCCCAGAGTTTGCATAATGCTGCAGTGCTTCTTAATTAAATTCATGGCCGAGCTGCCATTGAGCATTTGCTGACCAAAAAGTAAACATTAAATCAATTTCGTTGCCTTCTTTGCTCTGCTCCATTTTTCTCACCAACAAAGGAAACGAATCTAGACCAAAACAAGCCTTCAAATGGTCATCAAATTTAATGGTATTTTGGTTTGAAAATACATACACACACATTCATAGACTGCCTGGCCGAATGTTAATTAAACATTTGGTGTTCAGTCATTTAGTCAAAGGTTTCTGCTCAAAAATAAAACACACACACATAACTCCAGCTGCCGATGAAAAGGGTGAACGAAACTTTCTATGAAATGAATTTAAATATTTGCCAAAAGGGGCAGCAGCAGCTGTGATTTGGCCAGGCAAATGGCTTGATTTACGTCAATATAAACAGGACATGAAAGGGATATGCATAGAATGTGCAGAACGGAAAACTGACTCCGAACTGAAGCCCTGGGTTCGCAGATGGAATTTGCCAGATGAGCTCCGGTCGGAGTCCCTTGTCTAGTTTATTCGTGATTTAACATCAAATGCGATTTAATAAAGAAATGGACAGCCCTTTTCTCAACTGAGCAGACAGTGCGTTTCGAATATGGTGTAATATTAAATGCTGAATTTAATTATACTAAAATGAATAGTTTTTATAGCTTATATTAAACTATGATCAAATATTAAAAGCTGAATTAAATTATGATAAATTAAACAGTAATATCATCCTAATAAATAGAAACTGTAATTTTAATAATCACTTATGTTAGTTTATTAGTACTTTTTGTAACAAATAAATATTTTAAAAATATTTTAATTTAATTATTTGCTCCTATTGGAAATATTTTATTTTTGGCAAGCACTTACACCTGTCTTCGCTGAAACCTACACATCCGAACCGGACTGTAAGCATGCCCTCAGGCATTGTCCTTTTTTGCATTAGGACGGAGGAGAAACCTTCAGGTTTTCGGTAAACTTGTTTGGGGTCTTCTATCCGCTCTGTTTTCTGTACACACATGCTGCTAAGGAAATGGCCAAATAGAATGACGATCAATAATTTCCCTTTGTTGGCCAACTTATCGGTGGATTAAATTTGCAGGGTTCGTTTCGTTGAATCCTTTTTTCGATGTCCTTTTCTTGTCTAGTGAACTGTTTCCGTCAATGTTAACTCCAAATGTGCTTGTGATTTATTTATGTGACTCCGGCCGACATTGATTTCCTTGGGTTGCCGAATTGTCTCAGCTCTAAAAGGTTTTCAATTAGCCGAGCAAACAGTTTTAACAAGTTTCTGTTGTTCGAAGGGAAATTGGATATCGAATGTCGGCTGTCTGCTGTCGTTGGCAAAGTTAAAGAATTTGTGGATTGTTTTTCGTGGCTGCCTCTGTGAACTCAATCCCCAATCAATCTTTTGCAAAGAGCTTCGGCGACTTCATTAGGGATTCTCGTTTCCGTTTGGCTAATCCGTAGGTTCATAGATCCCGAAAACTAAGCTTTCTCCATACTAATTAGCCGTCAGCAGGCGTATTATGTAAATGGAGTCCGTTAGTCAGACGCCCACTTCCCTTTCCCTCTTTTTGTCCGGGGCTTTATCCCTTAACCACCAGCTAATTGCTTAACCCGCTTACTCGAATAACACGCATTCGCCGTGTGCTCTCATTCCATTCAATTGTTAAGCTGTCTTTTATTCCGCTTCCTGTGTGTCCCTTTGTCTGCCTAATGATAAGAACTTAATAAGGCCTCAATTGTTTTGATAACAGGCGACAAGAGAAAGCCCTAAACGCAGTACATCTGAAGATATTTTGGTGGTTGAACTACGGTAAAGTCAGTTTATTACTTATAAATAAAATAATATTATATAATAAAAATATTACTTATAAATAATAAATTAAATATAAAATCAACTTAATAACATCAATTTTTGTTCAATATAAAGCAGCAATTTATCAATTTATTTTTCTAGTTACCAAATAGTTTTTCGATTGGACTTTAAAAGTATAAGGGTGGATTTGAAAAATCCTCATTATGACTCATTAATACGTAAATAAACACAGCTCGTTTATTTATTAGGTCAAAATGTTTACTCAAACCTAAATAAGTTTAAAATAGACTAGCCCAATGTTGTTTATATAGAACAAGGGATTATGAATTAGTAAATATTTAGTACATATTTTTTCGAGTGTACTCACCACAATGGGCAGCAGCAGTTCGTGGGTCTCATTGCCTCGCCACAGATGCGAATCCTGCGGCACTGGGGGGATCTCGCACTCGAGCGAATTGATTTTCTCCTGCAGGCGACTCAGGATGCGCGGCCTGGCGATTGGCTTTGAGGCGGTCTTAGTGGGATTAGCTGGCGGATAGGATGGCGGATGGGAGCGGGTTCGAGTGCGAGTCCTGGCGGTGGCCAGCAGTGTGGCCGTCGTGGTGGTCGATGTGGATGTCGATGATGGGGATTCCCCGGCAGATGTCGTCTTGTCACTGGACTTTGGCGGCGGTGTCAAGGCCTTCAGCAATAATTTGGCACGCTTAAGCTGCTTTTGATATTTTCCACTAGTTGTTGTTGAACTGCCACTAGTTGTTGTTGTTGTTGTTGTTGTTGTTGTTGTTGCTGTCGTTGTTGTTGTAGCTGACTCAGTAGCAGTTGTAGTTATTGTTGTGGGACTGCTGGTGGCTCCACTGGCTGTACTTGTGGTTGGGTTAAAAGTTTGCCCTTCGGGCGTCACGTTCAAGTTTGTTGTGGCCCGAGTTGTATCCTCCGCTGACTTTATCGGACTGCTGCCTTCAGCTTTGGCTGCTGCCTTCATTAACTTGCGCTTATTGTGCAGCAACATTTCGTTGTACAGCTCCTTGCTGTTGTAGAACTTTGTGGTGGAGAATTCGGGATGCGAGGCGGCTGGGGGATCGGCATCCTGTTGGAACTTGGTGTTGGCAAAGTCAATGTGCGGCATGGCCATCACATCGCTGGCACGATGTTGCATGGGAAACTCGAAGCTTTTCTTCACCCTTCGATCGATAAAAGTGTGGCCCGGATGTTGTCTGGTAGGCGAAATAGTTGTGCTAGTACTAGTACTAGTCCTTGGCCTAATGGTTGTAGTTTCATGCAGTTGAAATTTGCTCTCTATTTCGGTTATCAAATCATCTTGATCGGCCAGCAGTTTGCCCGTGAAATCAGCCGTGGTTCCTTGATTCGGTCTTACTGTACTGGGCTTCACTGTGGTAACAAACTTTTCCTGATTTATTTTGATTTTTTCCCTCACTTCATTCACCTCTGTATTGACCATCAAGTCCACCTCGTTGGGCATTAGATTTTGCTTGTACTCCTCGGCATTTTCGGGCTGTGTGAAAATGGTCCGCTGCTTGATTAACTCATCGTTGTCGTTTTGTATGATTGGCTGGAAATCGTCCAGCTTTAATGGATACAAATCCACTATATTCAGTTTACTGGCCGTGGGCTGCTGAGCCAGCATGGCATCGTATCGAGCGCGCTCCTCCTCATTCAAGTCGGCCAACGTTTCGGCTACTTGATATGAGGCAGCAGCCTGCATTTGAATTTGCAGCGGCGAGATGGTGGGTGTTAAATCCTCCCCATCCTCGTCCTCATTCTGATCCTGATCCATGGCTTCCGGTTGTTCAGTGGTTGTGGCCGTACCATCAACTGGCTTTTCGCTCAATTTAATGCGATGCAGTGCATCCCTAATGCCACCTATTTCAACCAAATCGGCTGCTGGCATTTTTTGGATGGTTGTCATTAGCTCGTCTTTTGGGCTTGCACCATTTTCCTCCAGCAAGGTTGTTGTTGCCCTGGCTGTTGTTGTACTAGTTGTGGCCGTGGTGGTGGGCGTGGCCGTTGAGGTTGACCCACCCACAGCGGAAATTTCACTCAATTCCTCCGTGGAAATTTTCAACTGCGTTCGGTTGCCTTTTGCCGTCAAGTCGTTTGTTATGGTTTCACTAGTTGTTGCTGTTGTTGCTGCTGCCGCCACCACCGCAATTACCAATGTAAAAATGCAGATTTTCCACATTTTTCTGACTTTGGGAATTTAACCTCTCACTGCTACAAATTTTTATTTTGATTTTCGCTGGCCTTTTCCTATTTTTATAAATATCCGTTCATGGCGCTTGCAAATCTGTAAATAGAAAAATACATTTTATTAGTGCGATTTATTTTTGGTTTCCCTTTTTTTTCGACCACAATCATCCATTTACCAGCACAAAATAACAAAACATGCTGGTCATATTTTATGTATACGCCCATTGCCAACTGACTTTCCGTTGTTTGGCTTTTCTGGCAAATACATTTGCATTTAATCGCATTTATTTTTTCAGCGGGTTTCGCTTTACAACATTTGTTTGCTCGTTTGAAAATCTGATGGCACAAATAGAATTTATGATGCCTGGCAACATATTAATTAAAAATCCATACACATATACATTATTTGCAGAAATTCCACACGCATTTCAGAATTTGCCAACAATAAACTGGTAAATTCACTTGTTCAGCGAAATTTTTGGCATCTCGAAAAAGATTATTTGCTCGATGAGTTGTGCGAAAGTATGCTACAAATTTTGTGTACTCGACACTTTGGAAATATTTTGGTAAATGTATATACAGTGCGAATGCTTTTGTCAGCTAATCAAATGACTTCCATTATACGGGTCGGCCATTCATAATTCATTGGTCAAATTGAACAAATGACAAAGTAGAATAACTTTTGCATGCAATTGAATTTGATGGCCTGATAAAAGGAAGACTGCAAATATATAGTATAATTGACAAAGCATTTCAAGGGCCACTGAAGCCCGAAATCAGTTGGGAATTCCAAGGAGACCCGATTGATTTGCGGCCCACCGAGCTTAACCCACTCTTGCCCCATCATTGGCCACTGCCACTGGCAGCTGACAACTCACAGTTGATTGCACCCAGTGGACTGAACAGGACACCCATTGAGCCAACTTGAGTGGAACTCGAGCTGGACATACATTCATGACTGGCTCTGTACCCGGTTTTCTCCCTTTCGCACGCTTATCTCCGCAGTTTGTCAACGCAACTAAAGACAGAGCGTCGCCCCATAATTTACTTGGGTGCACTGGGAGAAAATAAGCCTAAAAGGGTTACTAAATTTGAAATTGAAACAGTGAAAGTTATACAATTAATACTTTTGATAATTAAAAAATTTTAAATGATAACTTATTTTTTACAAAATTTTATTTTTTATTCCTTAAAAATATGTTTTTTTGCCTCTACATATTTTATATTGAATCTTTTTCTCATAGTGCGGCCTCATGTGTAGACGGGCATAATGTTGAATCCAGTTCAACAGTCGTTCGTTGTGGTACTTTATGTGCGACAGATTTATCAGGAAAAGCCATAATCCTGAAGAAGGGAGCGCTGCAAAGAGGGTTGGGGTGAAGATTTCTTGAGCTATTTATAGGCACATTTTTCCAGATTAAAGCAGTTTTGTGCTCGCTCTGCAAAATGGTTTCATATGACCAGTCCGAATGAGATGAGCCATCTTAGATATTCTGTTTGAATTTGGCATTTGCCGTAAGGCAACTGAAGTTTAACTGATGCTTAAACTAAATTGGCCAGAGAAAATGCTGATTAGGCGGTACAGTTAAGTGAAGAATTTCTTTTTGATTTATATAAATGTATATTATTTTATATATATTATGAAATTGATGTAGGCTTAAATTCTTTATAATTGAAGGCCCTTAAATAAAGGAACCAAACTATTAATTAATAACAATTCGTTTAATTGTAGTAAGCAAATTAAAATAAATATTGAAATTTCAAACAAATTATAATTTTATTACAAACATAATTATCTATTTAAAAAATTGTAATTTGAGTATTAAGTATTACAAAAATACTCAATAATTATCAAGCAAACCAACAGCAGCTTAAATGTTTTTAAATAAAAACTTTTCTTTTGCTTTAGTTAGTATCAAATAAAATATTTTACATAGCATGAATTATTTTTATTTCGTCGCATCAAACCACAATTTACTCTGCAAAAGCAACTGAACATGGGAAAGCCACTAAATATTTTAATGAAAAACTGTTTGCAAAGTTTTGTCAATATTAAATAAAATATCAAGCAATGTAGATACCATGGAAAATCATTAGTTTATTTCAACCCCAGCCCCAAAGGATTGCTCACGCATGTGATCCCATGCCGGATTCGGTTTTGCATCGTTGGCTGGCCATAAATCAAACCTAGTCGCACACAGTGGCGTCGAAAAGTTGCCTCCTGCAGTGCATGTGTAATGCCGGCTAAGTAGCTGTAAAATATATTGCAATTTGTTGCAGCTGTGCATCCTGTGGGTGTGCCCACCTCTCACCGCACACCACCCACATTTCGACATATCCTTGAGTGCCTCCCAGCAGGCATTCAATTAATTATTGTAATGACGAAATTAATTAAAACTCATCCAATTTGATGCTGTTGCGGCTGGGGCCATATTGAAAAGTATATTTATGTTCTGCGGTTTGTCAGGTAAAGGTCCAAATTACAATCAGCACTCCAAACGGATGTCAATTCAGTGTTTAAGTGGGGAGAAAGCACATTCTGATTGGGGGAAAAGTTAAGAGCATCAGGGACTTTTCCGGCACAAATAACTTAAGCACATTTCTTTGTTTGACTGGAAGCAGCAAGCAAAAACAAATCAAAATCCGCTTAGTTCCGGTTTCTCTGGCCCCTCGTATTTTTTTTTTAAATTTCTTCTTAAAGACAACTGAGCCCAACTTTTCACAACTCCTGAATCCCCTTACTCTCTGATTTTTCATCAACTTTTTGCGGTTGAACTGCATACACAGACATACACAAAAATATGAAAAAAAGAACCAGAAGAAGGATAACTGGGGAATATTTTCATATTTTCTTTGAGAAATGAATTCAAACAGCGCCATTGCCCTTTTTTTTTTGCTGACTAGTCTGCACTTCAAACGTTTTTTTCAAATATTTTTCTTTGAGAGCAATTGCTTCGTTTAATTAAGTTATGTTGAGGATGAAACGAAAAATATATAAATATGAAAAGAAAAATATATTTTAAGATTCTTAAAATATTTTTATGAAAAATAAATAACTATTTTAATATTCAATATTATCTTTTCTTATTTATTTATTATTTTCTAAAAATGTTAGTTTGTATAAAAAATTTTTCCTTTAATTAAATATTCTCTGTGGTAATATACAATTAGACCATAAATCACATATTTTTTAATGCAAACATGTTTATAAACAGCCGAAGTGTTTTTATATATTTTAAATACGTAAATATGCGCTTCTATAGGCAACAATTTAATTTGGTATTTTTCAACTAATATTTATGATTTAATAAAGCGATTAAGTTTAAAGCTGCCTTTTTAGCCTACAAAAACGTGGTATAAAATATTCAATTCTCTTTGATAAAGCTTATCTAAGTCCCCGGCATTTCTTTCTGCGAAAATTGTATATTCAAATAGAAAAACTCATTTCTGTAATCCGGAATGAGATCAACGTTCAGCCTTCCCCGAATGTTTCCTGTCATAAATCATGCTCACAAAGCTAATTCCCAAAATGAAACAAATCTTACGCCGGCTTACGAGCAAAGTAAAAATAAAAACACTTAAAATTTTCCCAATTTCCCAACTTAAGCTTACAATAAGAGGCAAGCGAAACTGGCAAATAAAAACGCTGGAGAGCAGTAAGGAAATAAATACACAAAAAATGAAATGGAGTAAGCCTGTAAAAGAGCGAAGTAGCAAAAACGTAGGGCGAAACACATAAATAAACACGTTCAATGGCAAATAAAAAATAAATCAAACATTTCACTTGGCACAGCCAAAAATAAATACAAATAACAACAAAAACGGGACATCAACAAAAATATTGTAGAAATGCTGGAATAATAAAAGTGAAAATGAAAAACAAATAAAAAAATGTGGGCAGTGGGGCGTGGCCCTCTATGTCTGGAAAAACTTTTCTGCCGCTTCTTCTTTGGCAAACAGTTGCAGCAGCCAAAGAAGAGGAGAAAAAACAAAAAAAAAATTTGAAAGAGCAAAATGTAAATAGAAATAAAAATGAAGCTTAATTTAAAATGCGACGAAGCATGGCACTCACACACAAAAAAGAAATCAGTAAAGTGTCTCGAACAAATATTACCTGGCACTCGTAAAGAAAAAAGTGTAGCATACTTTTTTGGGCTTTGGTAAAGTGAATATTTTAAGGTTTTAAACTTTGATGGCTCTAATATATATCAGATAAACTTAAAATTGTTTAATAAGTTGAATCGGAAACACAAAATTTGTATTTTTAAATTAGACACGGGCAAACTTTTAGAAATTGCTTTATTGCCGATAATACGATTTTTTAAGAGTACTTCAATTTTTAAGTCAAAGAGAATTTTTAAAGGTATTAAAATATCTTAGTGGACTCCAATTATTGACAGATTGACTGACGATATTTTTAAACAAATAGAATCGGAAACATCAAATTCTTGTTTTTAGTTTAGTAATGTCTGCCTTTTAAAATATAACTGTTAAACCAATTTTTGAATTGTTATATCACAGAGAACAAGTTTCTTCAAGAGTATTAAAATTTTATGAACGCTTTATACCCCTTAAATTTCCAAGTGCTGGGTATAAAAATACATATACACTGGGGCCATAAACAAGCGCTAATATCAACAGAGCTGAAAAAAGGCGATAGAGATGGGCTGCTGCAGATAAACATAGCGAAAAACATTTTTCGCTCTATGCAAAGCAACTTTTCTCCATTTTCTCTGTATATTTAGAAATGTGTGTTGTGTTTTTTTTGTAGCTTTCCTTTGGTCGCATTTTTGGGGTAACACACACATACACCCATACACACGCACACCAAAAAAAAGGCTAAGAGAAGAATTCTAAAACTCGCAACCGCAAAAACCAGTTCACTCCCCTGTTCTCCTAGACCAACTCCATCCACAAGTTTTTGGCCTGCTGGTGACGCTTTTTTGATAGCAGCCCAAGCAGAACCATCCCCCCTTTGATTCCCCTAAACAGGACCTTAAAACAAGGTGTGTCCTGGCACAGTGGTGAACGGAATGTTGGGAAACCAGTTTGCCTAATTGAAGTGTTGCCTCATTTACCAAAGAGTTGAGTGGAAATTGTTGAACTTCTTTCGAAAGAGATAAAATGAAGACAAAAATTAACTGATCGTAAAAATTTGGCAACATGGTCTTTATACACTTTGATCTTCTAGCTTAGCTGAATTTTTACTAAAAATTAATTTGTTTGAACTATTTTATCTTACTTTAATACATCAATAAATTTATCTAGGAGTTCTTAATAAAAAAAAATTTCACATCTATCTTACCCAAACTAAATATTTATAATGAACTTAATTTTAAAATTTTGCAAACTTTAGAAAACTTTTCCAAGCACTGGCCACAGTGCTCGTTTTGAAGATGGAAAAGGGGCGTAACCAGAAGGGGATTTTCAGGGGTTTTGGTGGCGCCCAACTCAAAGTGTTCGGTGCTGCGTTGTAAAGAACTCGCATTTATCTTTATTTTTATGCCACAAACACGCCGTCGTCTTGCTCAAAGCGAACGAGAGGGCGACAGGGCAGGGTTTTTAGTGCGAGGCGTATGGGGGTTATGGCGGAGTTAACTTTCGCACCCGCATCTTTGTGCCCCACCCCCTTCGCTACCCTCTTTGCAGCCCACTCCATCCAACGCCCAACCCCCTTTTCCTCGAGGGCAAAGCCAAAGCCAACATTAGCTGGGGCCACGTTGAAGGCGGCGAACGCATACAAATCACAGAGCAAAGAAGGTGCGAGTGCGAAAACAACACTCAAAAAATATTTAAGATAAATACCAGTACTTTTTAATTTTTAAAAAATGTTCTTAAAAGATCTTATTATATTCTGTAATTTTTCAGTGAAAAATGTACATCTAAAAAAATGTTTGTTACTGGACAGAATTTTTTTAAATGTGACAGAATACTGATTAACGTTGTTATTATTTGACAAACTATTACTTTTTTATTAAAAAATTAATATGATAATTAGTACAAATGGTAATAACAACAATACTTATTAGTTAGTGGCGTAGGGAGGAAAATAATATTACGTTTAAAAAATGATAGAACAATTTGTTTAACATGATATACATATATAAAGCTAAACTAATGTGCCTGTATTTATTGTATGAGAATATTTTTTATTGGTTTAATTGTAAAAACTAAGCATTTATAAAGCTTAAAATATTTTTTTTAACTTCTCCTTGACTTTTATAATTCACAAATGCCAATAAATTATTGTTTTAATATTTATTTACAAAATTTTTGTTCACGTTTTTAAAGTGTATAGAAAGAGGCTGGCCAGAAGGTTGTAGGTCGTTGGGGGTAGAGGGTATATGGTGGAGGGCTTAATCTCTTCAATCTAGTTTTTGCTATGTAAAGTGAAGCGCTTAAGGCCTCTCCTCATGGCGTGACAACATCAGCCAACCGCACACACATCCAGTGCCATACCATCAGTTGGAAAATCGAAGCTCTTGTGCGGCACTTGAAGCACTAAGCTAAGCTGGAAAAAAAGTGGACTTGGGAAAAGCGGGGAAAACCAGGGGAAAGCCAGGAGAAAACCAGGGAAAACCGAACAAGAAGGGGGGCCACAAGGAGCTAAGTAAAGTTCAAGTGCTGAAAGCCAGAAAATATCAGGCTTAAGCGGCGAGGACCTTGCACATCTGCCGGTAAACATTATTCAATGTAGTTTTTGAAAGCAAAATCACGTACAAACTTCGGCCGCAAGCTCCCTTTTATCCGCCGATTCGCGCCGTTGGCTTCACTTTTCGCTTTAATTTTAATTTCAAATTATTTGTTTGGGTTCACCGTTTTTCTTCGGCCTTGGCTTGTGGCTCTCTCTGTTTGCACTTTACCGATTTCCGTTTTTGTGTTTATTTTTGTTGTTAATTTCACTTTGTCGCTTTTTGTTTGTTTTTCATGAATTTTACTTTGTTTGCACTGTAAAGAGTTTTGTGGTTGACTTTTATGGAATGTTATCTTTTGGGTTGGTCAATGGAAAGCCCCCAAATGGGTGTACCTGCTTGGGCATACGGTTTCTAATTCCCCAAAGAATGTCTAACCCAAAAAAAAACATTCACCAGGAACATCTATATGTCTTTAGGTATTCATTTAACAGGTACGCTCTGTTAAAAATCATAATGGTAGTAAAACGTGTGCTTATAGCATAAACCATTTTATTTTTAAAACAATAAGTAAATCGTTAGGTAATGAATGAATAAGCGTTAATCACTCCATTAATTATAAAATATATAAAACAAGATTTGATAACACTGTATATTTAAGGCTTTAATTTACCTATTTTGTTTAGAACTATACTGCCTTTAAAGTAGTTTATCAACAGATTAAATGGATTAACTAATGAACTGAAAATAATCTACGCTCTTTATTTCATAAATTTGTATTCTCCATAAATATTTCAGGCACCCTCAAAGTGTATAAACACTCAAAGTGTATAAATATTTAAAGGTTGTTTATTTTATAAATAAAATCGCAAGCACAAAATATAAATATTTATTTTTTTTAGGTTTATTATAAACACTATTGTTGCCAATTACACTATACCAAATATTCCAAGCACTTGGCCAATCAAATTTAAACCCAAAAGCGACTCGAGCTCTTGAGTAGAATCATGATGATTTGGTTAGTCGGTTGTGAACTCACTTTAGTTTGCAAAACAATGTAAACACACTTCGACCGGGGGAAACCTTTTCTGGTTGCTATACGTTATTCCGATTCGAAATCGCGACCAACCGTAACGCTTCAAAGTTACTCCGCTACTGGTCAAAAAGGATGCTGGCCATGTTCAGATAAACGTCCTGGAGCTTTGCTATAAAAATTTGCCACTTGCGAGAGTTTATGCTTCGCTCGGGAGAAGTCACGATTCTCAACATGCGCACGCAGCATCCAAAAGAGAAATGTTTTGGGCTTAATTTTCGATGGGAAGTTTTATCTCCGCACGAAAAGGTTCCGACTGAAAATTACCCAAAACATTGGGGGCCAAAAACAGCTGGCCAACAGCTGATGATTTGAGGATGGTTAGGAGACAAAGCTTTCATAACTTGTGGAGCGTTTTCTCCTCTCTGTATATGTGTTATCCTATTTATTTTTTTGCCGGTTTTGCGCTGTCTGTTTGATGTTGCGGTTGCCTTGGTATCCCCATTATTATCATCATTATCGTGTGACGCACTCTTGGCAGCGAAATGCTTTTCATTATGCGCACTAATGTCTATGGCCTTTATGTCTAATGCGTGCATAAGGACCCACTCTTAAATCCCGACTTGGCTATGTTTTCACTGCGCTTTACGTATATATATAGGCGCATGTTGGCGCACACATTATGCGGATTGAGTCGGTTTATTTGTGCTTTTCTTGGTGCTGGATTATTTTTATCATCGGGTGTGCATGTAATTTATTATAATGATTTACACATTAAGTATCATTAAGCCGAGTGCTCGCTCGACTGCTGTGTAAGAGCATATAAATTGCAACTAATTGTGCACAATGCCGCGTATGCGTGATGTAAACTTTAATGAGAAAAGCGCAAATATTTATACGCACCACCACAGTTATTAATAATCTGGCATCGTTTGGGGAATTTCACACAAATTCTCATCGGCACCTTAATGAGTAACTTTTCCAGTGTGTTGGCGTTTGGGTTGGGCGGAAAATGATTGCGGAAAATCATCCAGCAGATCGCACGCAAAACTTTCCTGCTCATCAATTCGAAACTAAGATGGGAACTTGGCAGCCATGCATGATATTTATGCCTTGGATTTTGGGTTTCGCTGCGAAGTTCATTAAATTTTCTCCAGCGCTTCGTTCGCAATTATGCAAGAAAACTTTTCGCCGACATTTAGACAGACAAACAAACCGATTGGCAGTGGGGGAGATATTGATTTAATGCATTGCCAGATCTCGATGGTGGAGTTTTCTGATTTGTTCTTTTGGCTGCCGAGTGAGCAGTGAAATCTGCCAAAAGTTTGGCAGCAAATGTCAGTCTGCACAGAAAAAAATATTTGGTAACAGATTTATTTTAGATACAACTAATAAAAATTAAATAAAATAAAATAATGAGTAATGCTTAATTAACATCCCATTTAACGATTATCGAAGAATTGCCAAAAAAAAGATCTTTTATAACTATTATTTCAGATTTATATAAACAAAAATCTCAAATAAACATTATATTGTATTCCTATAAATAAAAAAAGTATATAACAATTATTTGTGAGTTTTATTAATAATAGTCATTAAGTGGTACCATACATATCTTTCAAAAGTTGAAATTAATTATATATTTTCTTTATGAGTTTCACATATTATATTATCCATAAATATATATTCCAAGTTAATTCTTAAAAATTGTAATCCTTTCAGAACACCCGTGCTTGTAATACCATATATACATTTAGTTTAACAAATTTTACAAAGAAAATAAACCATTTATTCTGTATTGAATTTATATAAAAATTTTTTGCGACCTCTTTTCCCAGTGCATTCGTTTAAAGGCTCCTAAAAAACCCTCAAAATGACAATCGTTCCCCAGGCAACTTTGTCTGCTAAATGCTGTCATACAGCTGATAATTCCCTATCAGTAACCATACACACCGCACCAAATGCACTAAAAATATGCCAGGCATAAAAAATGTTCTCTCTTTCTGTGAATTTAGCACACAAAGTTGGCCAACTTTCGTTTTTTTTTTTTGTGTGTTATGGTTCAGGGGTTTATACAAAATTGGCACCCTGCTTTATTGGCCCAGTTTTGCCAGTCCTTTTATCTATTTTTCTGGGGTTTTTTTTTGTGGCTGGCGCCGCCTGCACCTTGACACTTTTGCAATTGTCGCATGAAAATATTTTTTCATCCGTTGTTATTCTTGCTCAATTTGTTTGTGTGCGCTCCGCTTGTTTGGGCCAGTTTTTGCGGACTTTTATTTTCGTTTTCCCTCAATTTTTCAGTACTTTTTTCTGTACTTTTTTATTTATGGTTAGTGCAGCAAAATATTTCAGCATCAGGCGGCAAACCAAAGTGCCGAGTGTGAGGGCGGAATCGGGGCCAAAAACTATGTGGGAGCCAGTTTTTCGGATTTTTTTTGTAGCCTCCTCAGTTCAATGAATAAATCATTGGACTACTAGGAGATTGGTTGGGGTTTTGCGAAATGGAGTAAGACCGCTCTGGTAATGTTTGATAATATTTTATAGGAATGTTTTGTACTCGTTTTGGCTTTGCAGAAGTGCAAAACGAAAAGAAACAATTTAGAACATTTGGGTTTTTCGATAACTTTTTGGCCCAACAAAATTTTGGTTTCTTAAAAGTAAGTAAATATTAAGGAACTAACTAAGTCTTAGTATATTTGATGAATGAAATTATTAGCAAATATATTAACAAATCATTGGCTGAGAAATTAAATATATTAAAGCATAAGTAGTACAACAAAAATGTGCATAACATTAAAATTAAAATGTTGGAAAAAAAATGTCCTGTTTAATATATCAAATTATACTTCAAGTGCAATAATAATGCAAATATTTGAAAATTTACATTTCTTTGTTATAAATAGTATTCGTTATTGATGTGTTCATTAAAAATGTTATGTTCTATGTTTTAAATTATACAACAAGAGTTACTGTCACAATAATGCAATATTTGTAAAAGCTTCAAGGAAAACCCTTCTCAAGTTGTTAATACTTAAACCCTTTGACGTTTTCTTTTCAGTCCAAGTCCATCCCATTGGTGAAGTCCCAGCTCCATTTGAAGGCCGGCGGCAAAGTAAACTAAGCAAATCTGCTGGCAATTTAATCCTTTTGAAATTTGCTTTAATTAACTCGAATAATAAGCTGGATCCGCATACTCTGTGCTCCCTCTTTTTCCTTGGCAGCCTTTTTATGCTGTTTGTGGGCTTATGAGCTTTGGCACTTTGCGGTTGAAATTTGGTGATTTTTTCTTTTTGTGGCCGTCGGATTTCCGACATTTGCCAAAGCAAATTTCAACGGAGCGGGACTAATAAGCCAAACAAGAGACAGTGGAAAAGGGGCTGGCATAAAGTGAGGGGCGTAGGGTGTGGTTGGCAGACAAAGTTAATACGACACAGCTGCCCTCGCAGTTGGTGGGCAATTGAAAAGTTTATTAATAACCAGCAGAAACAGCAGTGCCAGCCATAGGAACTTTAAACAGATTTCTGCTCTCTCTCTCTCAGTTTATTTTTATTTGCATGATTTTTATTTTTAATTAAAGGAAGGCAAAGCTGTGAGCGGAAACGAGTGCGGTCTGAAGGAAATGTAATTATATTTGAACAGCATGCGAAATATGTTTTAATTTATTAAATTAAAATAAGCGAAAACAAAACCGGAAAGAAGGAAAAACGACAACAAGAACCAGCAAACCGGCAAAGGAAGCAGCCAGCCGCAAACCGAGTGCCCAAAGCAATTTGAGCCAGCGTCACACGCGGCGTATGCGTAATGTGCTCGCAACAAAATCAACGTTATGCAAATTTTAATGCGAGCATAAGGCGGAAACGAAACGGCGCTACGCTTGCCAGTTTTCTCTTGATTCCCGTTACGGCTATCGCCAGGGTATCGACTGGGTATGGTGGTACTCTGTTTTCAAATTTAACTTTTAAAGAACTAAGGATCAAGTTTTTTTTATTAATTTTCAACACACCAGTATAGTAAATCGAATTCGTTAGAAATCTTTAGGTAAGTCTGGTAGTACGCAATTCTTTACATATATACATTCTTAATTTACATGGAGAAATTAAACATAGCGTTAATAAATACATAATTAGGTGCTTTAAAGAAAGTTGGTAGCACAAAATGTACTTTATTTATTAATACCCAATTCTACATAGGTCCATTGTTTTGATTGAATTAATACATCTTTACATACTTTT